AAATGAGACCAGGAAAACTAGAATACAACCATAAATACCATACGAAAATACACTGCAAAGTTGCTGTTTTAAACCAGAAACACGGTCGGAGTTTTTTTTTCTCATTATGCACTGTGTGCTGCAGGAATTTTTTTATACTGTGCACACTGACCACACAGACCCATTCTTTCATATGTAGGCCTACCAGCTTTCTCTCACCAGATTTGAAGGTGCTGGAATTTATGCATACTAGTACAGCACCAACCCTGGTGTGCAAGCCGTACTAGTACGGCACCAACCCTGAAAGGGTTAAGGGCTAAGGGGAAGCACTAAATTCCTGTATTCTTAAAAAACGAGGACATTCTTGATAAAAAACACCAATTTTCTGAAACAATTTGTGATCAATATGTATTAAATATTTTGCTTGGGACCATAAAATTTGATATCTAGGACTCTTGTTACTTTCATATTGGACTTGATCAGGAACTAAAACCAACTGTTTCTTGTATGGAAGGAATCCTTGAGAGTGTTGCCTGAGGTACTGTGGTGAAGGTCAACTGGAACACCCAGTGTAAAGAACAGTTGTTCTAATTGAAGAGAGGACATACAACACGTGGCTTCTTGGTGCTGACAAACAACAATTAACAACTGATTTTTAATCAGCAGAATTCATTATACAGGTGCTCCTCAACTTACGATTGCTAGAATTTCAACATTTCAATTTTACGATGTGCAAAAGCAATTACTTCGGAGATGAAATTTAAGATAATTACCAGCATGAAGGTGGCAAGTTAGTTACAGTAATTATTTATTTACTTGTTAAGTCACAGTAGTTATTTATTTACTTATTTATCATGTATTCATATTCAACTTACAATATTGTCGACTTATGATGGGTTTGTTGAAACATAACCCCATATTAAGTCGAAGAGCACCTGTATTTACAATAAACGTGTGAAATACAAGCTGAAGAGTTTTCTGAGCATATTCCTGGACCTGGTTTGTGTATGGGTGCTCAAACACATGAATATTAACAACTGTGGATCATGGTCTTCTGAGTGGTGACTTTTGGCTGCAGTTGATAGTCTCATCTTGCAACTTAAAAGGATAGTCTGGGAGATAATGAGGCACTTCTAGGATACCACTGAACATTGAAGTGTAAGTTCTATACAGCAGCAGAGTCAATAAGATTGACTTTAAGGTAGTGGGTGAGGAATATTCTTGGCAACCAGAATCAAATGAGCCAATCAAGAAGAATTCTCCTGTGACTGTATTTACTCGAAGCTATATCCACAATTAAATTTAAATATAAATTTAAAGTATGGATGAGCATTTCAGTGCACAAAGATATAATTTTAATCCATTGAAGTGAAAGTCATCTTACTCAGAACAAAAGACACAGCTTCACTCCAGAGCCAGAGTACCTCCCTCATAGTCACACTTCAGTGCTTGTTGCATTGCCTGGTCAAACACTAGAACCAGAGTATCTCCCTTATAGTCACACTTCAGTGCTTGTTGCATTGCCTGGTCAAACACCAGAACCAGAGTACCTCCCTTATGGTCACACTTCAGTACTTGCTGCATTGCCTGGTCAAACACCAGAGCCAGAGTGCCTCCCTTATGGTCACACTTCAGTGCTTGCTGCATTGCCTGGTCAAACACCAGAGTATCTCCCTTATAGTCACACTTCAGTGCTTGTTGCATTGCCTGGTCAAACACCAGAACCAGAGTATCTCCATTATAGTCACATTTCAGTGCTTGCTGCATTGCCTGGTCAATCATCAGAGCACCTCCCTTATAGTCACACTTCAGTGCTTGCTGCATTGCCTGGTCAAACACCAGAGCTAGAGTACCTCCCTTATAGTCACACTTCAGTGCTTGCTGCATTGCCTGGTCAAACACCAGAGCCAGAGTACCTCCCTCATAGTCACACTTCAGTGCTTGTTACTTTGTCTGGTCAAACACCAGCCAGAGTGCTTCCCTCATAGTGACACTTCAATGCTTGCTACATTGCTTGCTCAAACACCAGAGTAACCTCTCCTCGGGGGCTTATGGGAACCCCTAAAAATTTTCCCCTTGAAAAAAACCTTTTTGGTCTCTTCACGAAACCCAGATTTCAAATAGTTTTTCTATATCTTTAACTCAAAAAACTTCAAACAAAGCTGCCACCTTAAGAGCCTTCAATGATGAAAACTCATAATTACCCATGTCAAAAGTTCATTTGCAATGTAGACCCCCCATGTTAATCTTATGCCTATTTTCTCATCTGGACTGCTTGGCAGAGTAGAAAACGGCAAGACGTTCATCCTCGCCTGGACCACCTGGATAGACTGTATTTCAGCAAGCCTTCAACAAGGGGGGATGTGGGTGGCCTTCTGTTATGTAAAAGGGCCCAATATTCCCAAAGTACCACACTTGGATCCACTTCGAGGACAGCGTGAAAAAAGCTTTTATCCCCAAAAGACGGACAAAAAAGCGCAACTTCACTCGGGCGTCCCCTTCCCAGAACACACCCCATCTGAATTTATATACCCGGAGACTCGGTATGGAAACTTTCGACAGCAAATGATGTCAACAGTAAAGTCGTTGATCACATGAAAAGGGGCCCAAGATGGCTCCAACTTCATCCTGTTCCCTATTGTATGTCTCAAACAATAAAAATGCTTTCAATGAGCTGATGAGGGACAGCTCTTAGCTTTCCCAAAAAAGCTAGGGGTCCCTTTAAACCTTTTCAAGCCCCGGTAAAAAAAAAAAAAAAAAAAATTTATTTTGGTTCTTTAAATAGGGAGGTGGGAAAAAAGAGCAGCTGGCCCGCCGAAAACTCCTGCGGAGGTGGCAACAAGAGCAGATGCAGCCCTGCCAGAAGACTCCTGCTGGGGTGGAACAAGGCAGATTTCAGCCCTGCCCCGAAACTCCTGTTTAGATCCCTCATGTTAAACTTGTGATACATTTTTATACAGCTAGGCGAGAAATTTCTTCTTTAGCAAAATTTCTTTAACAAGTGATTTTAAAGGAAAGGGGTTCTAGCAAAGCTTCTTGGAGGGATTGAGGTTTTGTGATTTTAAAGAAAAATATCTTCCATGGAGGGTGAAATGATCTTTTTGGCTACATGATACAGTTCAGCAGATTAAAAAACTTAATGCAATTTCCACGTTTTTACAATCCATTTAGATTCTTGTATTTACTTTAGACCTTAGTAAGATTCTTTGTGCGTGCGGTTTTATTTTTTAACATTTTAATACCGAGTAAAGTGTTAATCCAACAATCCTATCACGAACTAGAAATCCAAGCCCCTTCCTCATGTTAAAAAACCTTGTAGATTTGGGACAACCAAGAATAATTTAAGCTTTTATTTTTCAAAAATCCAAGGGCGGAGAGAACTTTTTCTAGCTAATTTCAACAGGGAGCAGCATAATCAATTAAGGACCTAAAATAGGCTAGTACATCAATCTCAGATTTTCCCTTAGCACCATAGTTGGGGTTTAGCCCGCAACAACCCATAGTGGGGTTTGTACCAGCAACATTGCACCATAGTTGGGGGTTGTAGCCAACAACATTAGCACCATAGTTGGGGTTGTAGCCAGCAACATTAGCACCATAGTTGGGGTTGTAGCCAGCAACATTAGCACCATAGTTGGGGTTGTAGCCAGCAACATTAGCACCATAGTTGGGGTTGTAGCCAGCAACATTAGCACCATAGTTGGGGTTGTAGCCAGCAACATTAGCACCATAGTTGGGGTTGTAGCCAACAACAGCTTTGAGAATATTTAGCCTATCTTCGCATTTCTTATTTAGTTGTGGTATAGTGGAATGTTAAAGGGTACAACTACATGAAGATATCTGTAAGTTTTAACTTAACTAATGTTTTCACCCTGCAAATAGATGGGTGGGGGATGTCGTTTGCTTGTTAATATCTTATATGTGTAGAGAACCTGGGATAACCCCCCAAAAAAAGTTAGACAGAGTGACTTATTTCCTTTGGGGTCCTTTTAATACCTTATTATTATACTATAAATGATATATACTAGGAATAAGGTAAAATGAGTTATTTACATTTACACGTGTGTTAGCTAAAAGATTAAAAAAAAACATTCTCCTCCCTTTCTATCAATACATTCATTAGGTACCTTTTGGCTGTCTTCTCGAACTGGTTCATGCTATGACTGGCTTTGACATGTTTACCTGGAGATTACCTGGAGAGAGCTCCGGAGGTAAACGCCCCCGCGGCCCGGTCTGTGACCAGGCCTCCTCGTGGATCTGAGCCTGATCAACCAGGCTGTTACTGCTGGCTGCACGCAATCCAACGTACGAGCCACAGCCCGGCTGGTCAGGTACCGACTTTAGGTGCTTGTCCAGTGCCAGCTTGAAGACAGCCAGGGGTCTATTGGTAATCCCCCTTATGTATGCTGGGAGACAGTTGAACAGTCTCGGGCCCCTGACACTTACTGTATTGTCTCATAATGTGCAGACAATCTGTTTCATTCTTTTAGTGGCTCTGGTGGCTAAACCTCTCGCTTCACACAGCTAGGGCCTGGGTTTGATTCCCAGCCAGAGTAGAAACGTTGGGCGTGTTTCTTTCCACCTGTTGTCTATGTTCCCCATCAGTAAAATAGGTACCTGGATGTTAGTCCGACTGGTGAAAGTCGCATTCTGGGACACTGACCTAATTTGCCCGAAACGTTCAGCATAACAAGCGGCTTTCTTTATAGCAGTATATTATTGATGTCAGCTAGGTCTGTACACCTTGTACATGTACTTGTAGTAAATAAAGATATTATTGCTGTTCAATCAAAGGTGTTTGAAGCCTGTCCACTGACTGTGGGTACTACAAAGTTGTGCACGTGTTAACCCTTTTTAAGGCCTAGTTCCTGGACCTACTGTGTATCCATATGCTCTTGCGCTGCCATCCACAGGATGGACATGGGGGGGCACAATAAACTAGCCACTTTGGTGGCAAAATCTAATTCTGATAACTCAACTTTGGGCAACAAATCTTCCCGGTGTCCGCCAGAAGTCGGGTTCAATACGGCTCAAGGTGCCAGAGGCCCTTATAAACCCAACAAAAAAAAAATAACTTTCTCAAGTGATAATTAATAACATCCAACATATTGTAAGTGTTGGAGACATCATCAGTGGCAGGAGGAACCTTACAACATAATAAACTCGTAAAATAAAACCTGATAAACCTACAAAACTCAAGGTGAGGTTTTCTTTTAACTCCATATTGGTGGTGGTAAGTATGACCCTCGTGGGTTTAGCACATGTTTAGATTATAATATTCACAGCGCTGTATAACCCTTGTAGGTTTAGCGCTTCTTTTTGTTTAATAATAACAACATTCAGGTACAAGTACATATAAATAGTTACACAGATTATCATACATGGCAGGATATATGTAAATTACCCAGGATAACCTAAAATAACTCAGTGACATATTACCACTGACGGCCTTTTATTACTTTATTATTATATTATAAAGGAGATATAATAGGAATAAGGTTAAATGTGTTATTTATATTTACATGAGGGTTGTTCATGATTATTAGGAGCATAGTTAAGAAGTTATGTCATGGTGACAGGAGCTGTTGTCTAACCTTACACTTTCACTGTCTTCTAAGTATATATACATTATTAAAGTTTACGTGTGTATATATGTGTGAACCACAGCATCCTCAGACATGATGTAAGCAATAAATTTTGACCTAGACATGAGTGTGGGTCTGTGTGATGGGTTGCACAGGTTAAAAAAAATTATTCTATGTACGTTGCATGATGAGAACAGCTTCTAACTTCAGATATTTTTTTCTTAGTTAAAGTGAGTCCATTGGAGCATTTTCTAGGGTGTTTTTTATGGTTTTGTTTGCTGTTTCTTGGCCTGAAATATTTTAAATTGGAGGAATTATTTGTATTTTGATGAAGGTGGTAGGTTGGTAGACAGCGACCGCCCCGCCTACCGTCCTGCCAAGTGAGTGTGTGACAGAAGCCTGTAATTATTTGCATGATGGTGGATTCCAGGTGTCTTTTTTTCTGTTTTATAAACATGCAAGATTTCAGGTACATCTTGCTACTTCTACTTACACTTAGGTCATACATACGCACCCATCTGGGTTTTCTTCTGTTTCCTTACTAGTTCTTGTTCTTGTTTATTTCCTCTTATCTCCATGGGGAAGTGAACGGAATTCTTCCTCCGTAAACCATTCATGTCCTGAGAGGCGACTCAAATGCTAGGAGCAAAGGTTTAGTAATTCCTCCTCCTTTTAAATTACTAAATTTAAATGAGAAACTTTCATTTTCTCTTTAGGTCACTCTGCCTTGGTGGGATACAGTCGGTTTGTTGAAAAAAAAAATTTGATATTTGGCTATTTTCTTTAGGAAGATTAGGATACTCCCCCATTCCCATCCCTTGTATTTGCTCAAATTGGCGTAGGTGTAATACATTCATTTATATTTTGCCACCCGCCTTCTCCCACCGAGGTAGGGTAACCCCCCCCCCCCAAAAAAAAAAAAAAAAAAAAAAAACACTTTCACCATCACTCCATCACTATTTTGCCAGAGGGGTACTGATACTACAGTTCAAAAGTGCAAATATCCTCACCCTTTCTTCACAATATATTCATATTTTTTTACAATTTGATCAATAAATGTGACTTTTTATATTATGATCAAGATTGATCAAGGAGATACTGTACATACAATTACAGGTACCATATGACTTACAACCAACTTGGTTCCGACCAACCGGTCGTAAGTCAAAATGGACATAAGCCGAACCTTTGAAAATTGCCGACATATTGGGTAGGGCATAATGTCAAACCTTTCCCATATAAACTACCTACATAGTACTGTAATGTAATGTACAGTCATTATTTCATTCTTTTACCATAATTTACTTCTATTGTATATATTTTAATTATTTATGTACTGGATATAATGTATACATGGTAGTGAACTGTATTGTAAATTTTACATTGCATACAGTATCATATGTTACTGTTATCTTTATGTATTGTCGACACAGTGGAATGGGAAATACCACTGGTAGTGTCATCCTGCCAGAATGTAGTGTAACCTATACCCTAAGTAAAGAGAAAACAACTCTGGAACATGTGTAATATGTATCCGGCTGGCTGGCTGGAATGGCCGGGTGGGTGCCTGGTGGGTGGCTGACTGGCTGACTGAATGTGGCTGTCTCTCTCTCTGTATCTCTCTCTCTCTCTGTATCTCTCGTATCTCTGTCGTACTCCTCTCTGTACTCTCTGTATCTCCTCGTATCTCTCTCTGTATCTTCTGTATCGCCTCTTATCTCTCTCTGTATCTCTCTCTTATCTCTCTCTGTATCTCTCTCTGTATCTCTCTCTCTCACAGGTACACGTAAGTGAAGTTATCATACATAGTATAAATTACCTAGGATAACCCAAAAAATCCAGACAAAGTGCTATACAGTGGATCTGTGCTCCAGTGCCCTAAATTAATAATAATATTAATAATTATTATTATTACAATAATACATATGTACTAATATTAATAATAATATTATTATTAAACTATGATATAATAATCATGTCCACTCATTACTTACCTTAAAATATCTGTAGTCTTAATGTAGAGTGAGAGGTGAGTAAACAAGATTTAAATGAATAAACGAGAGAGAGAGAATGAGTGTAGAAGGTTCACGAGTTATGTAAACAAACCATGTTGTTGTTGTTACCAGCCCGGACACGAATGGTTTTTGTTCACTCTGTCAAGCCGACCAGAAAAACATCTCATATTTGTTAATTTATATGTTTATATGTTATGTAGCATGTTCATTATATAATTTTGAAAAAATCATAGATTGATTAAGCAAAATGTCTATATTAACATTTTATACACATTTAATGTGCTCAGTGATTATTATTGTGTTATCATTATTAATATGGCATCTTCAAGGCCAATTACACTCTTAATGAGTGGCTCTGAGACAGACAAGCAAAACAGAAAGACAGACACAGGTAGACAGAAATACAGATGCACAGGTAACAGAAAGACAGACACACAGGTAGACAGAAAGACAGACACACAGGTAGATAGAAAGACAGACACACAGGTAGACAGAAAGACACACACAGGTATTTTTATTTACTTTTTTCATTTAGTTATTTTTGATGTATGGTATGAAAATAGTATACTGACATATTCTATCCAACTAGCAACAGGTGTATGCATGCATCCCATTTAATGGTGATGGTCGCTGCCTGGTATGTCATGGTGAGTGGGATATGATCATTAAGTTGAGGGGTCAGAGTTTTTTCATTCGTTTGTAAATCATGTTCTGAGAACATTCGTTAAGTGGGTCTTGTACTGGAATACATTTCATTTTTTTTTTTGTTTTGTTTTTGTTTGAGAGCTTGTCATTTGTTACTCCTTATTTCCTTTGAAATATAAGTACTATTCTAAAGATTCCTGACATTAATTGGTAGTAGACTGGCAGATGCCTATCGGAAGGCTACTATTTTGTCATTGGGCATAAAATAGGAAAACTTGTTAATTCAGGTTTTTGCAATTTGGATTTTCTTCTTTTTCTAAAAGTCTAAAAATGCCTGAAGCAAGGGATTGAAACCCCCTTCCCTGTGTAAATTACTAATTAATTAAAAAAAACTTTTTTTTTCTTTTCGGGTCACCAGTCCCCGTGGGTACAGCGGTTCTTTGAAAAAAAAAAGGGTTAAATTTTTGCAAATTTTTGTATTTTTTTTTTTAACTCATTGGCTGCTCCCACAAAGGCAAGGGGCCCAAAAAAGAAAAATTTTCATCATTCACTCCATAACTGTCAACCAGAGGCCCCCCACACTAAAATTATAAAACTGAAAACATTAACACCCCCCTTTAGAGTGCGGGCATGTACTTCCCTTCCCCCGGGACTCAAGCCCGGTCTTCGGGTTTTCCCCCTGACTCCTTGCTCACACCCCAACAGCAATAAAGTCCAAAAAACCCCTTTGTCTCCATTCGTCCTATTAACACACTCACCAGTCGCTCAAAAAAACCTCCTTTACCCCCCCCCCAACCTTTTTTCTGGGCCGACCCCACCCTCCTTTTCCCCCACTACAGATTTATTCACTTTCAAAGTCTTCTATTTTTTTCCATCCTCTTTACATCTTAAACCCACCTAAACAAACCCTCCTCACCCTCTGTTTAAAAGTTTTGGTAATCCTGCCCCCTTTATTTTTTATTCATTTTCTTTCCTGTGTATTTTTAAATAGTTTATTTTCCTGCAATATTTTCCTTTTTAAAGAGAAATCAGGAGGGGTGATAATACCCCCAACCAGTACTTATATATATAATTTTTCCGAACTTAAAAAAATCATTTAGATCTGATAGTTAATCAGACTCTTGATCTAAATTTAAAATATTGTACTGTGGGTTTTATATTAATCTTCGGGACATCAGGCTTCTTACGAACCTCCTGCAAAGGCTTCCCCCAAGTGGCTATTTTAAACCCCCCTCTAAGACACTGGAGCACAAATACAAAAAAGGAACTTAATTACCTATATTCGGTGTAAGTAAATTTCATTTGCTGAAATTTCGGATGGATAATGTGGGTAAAACAGTAGGACCCTTGTACCCCAATTTTTTATTTATCTGCGTTTGCCGGGGCCCCAAAAAATAAATTTTAAATTTTGCTTAATTAAAAGGGGCCCTAAAAGGCAAAAGTAGTGATGGGGAAGTTCTTCAAAGCTAAGAAAAATTGGGTAAAGACCCTTCCCCATCATGAAAAAGTGAGAATTCTTCACTTATTTTTATGTAAAAATTTATCAATTAAATTTTATAATAGGTATGTCAGGATTTTATATGAGATTCCTACTATCCGTATTTCAGAATCCCAAGCAAGTCGTAAATGTACCCCTCAGGATACGGGTTCTACTGACAGCCCCCCTCACTTAGCACGTAGGGGTCTTTGACCAGTATGCAAACCTAAATTAAAATTTAGGCGATTTCTCTACTGTTTATTACAATTACCAAACCTATAAACATCTAAAAAAAATACCCCAAATGTTATAAATGGCACAAAGTGACTTTTTAAAAAGATCAAAAATGGCTGACCAAGCCCGCTACCATTTTGTATGCTCCTCACTTAGCGACGAATTCGTTTTCCAGGTGGTCTTTCGAACGGAAAATCTTATTAAATGAGGGGGGTGTATTCCGCATTTTGAATTCAGGAAAAGT